TTTGCACAATTGAGGATTTGAACAAATATTTTTAGGTTTTATATATACATTTGAATAATTAAAAAATCATAAATTACAACATCAATACCACAGAATTCAACTATAATTTATCAAGCTTAGTAACTAAGATGTATTTTACTTTTATCATTGAAATCTTGGTTCAAAAGAGAGAGATGCCACATTAGAAAGGCTGAGAAAACCACTAGGGGGACATTCTGAGATTCCAATTGGTTATTCATGTCATATATAGAAGTTTATATAAGTGAGCATTTCCATAAATGGAAAGAGGTGGGCGGGGTGCAACTGTGTTTGATTTATTACATAAGCAATATCTTAGCAAGTAGAAAAGAGAAGACCTTATTTTATATTCTAGCTTGTCAATATCTGTAACTTGAGTTTCTAATTTGTACGAAACTACAGACTTAGTATTTTGACTTCACAAACATCTAATTTGAACCAGTTCTGCATTAAACATACCACGTGACACACAAAAATTGATGTTTATCTTTTTTAATATTTATTTTTAAATTAAGAAATTGAGTAAGGTATAGTTCTAAAATTTGAATTATAATTTACAGTTTAATACCAAACTTATTGACATAATATCATGAAATAGAGTTCAATAAAATTTTGAATGCGAGTCAACAAATGAGATGATATGGCCTTTCAACTATGACCCATCTCGAAAGGGTTAACCCTCTCAATACAAGAGGTTGAAGTGTGAATATATAGCTTGCAAGTTGCTCATGTGTTATATCATTTAATATTGTACTGGGGCTATGCATTCCTCGTGTGATTTACAGCTTGTATTGTGGGTTTATCAGTTAGACAATGGTTCAAAAAGTAATAAAATAAAATAAAAACAGGTGTAAACTGTTATAAGCTATAAATTAAAAAAAATTTTTTATTCCTAACGGTATTCCACAGCTTTTCATGATGAAACTTTTTGTTTTCACTTGTTATGGTGACTGTAAACAGTTTTTCCAAGTCAAAGTGTTGGTTTCAGTAACTTATAAATCACAGCTTGATTTGAAAATGCTATTAAACAACTTCTCTCTTATTTAAAAAACAAAAAATTATTACTAGCAATATCTTCCAAGTCGGCAGTTTGTAGCGTTTCCGCTTCATCTGGTTCTGTTACAATCCATGACATATAATTGGGTTCAATATCAGATCCTTGACGTCGGTAATGTCGCCGATGGTGGTGATGACGATGATGATGATCATGTCTGGCAATGAGAAGTCTTAAAGTTAATACAGAGTAAGTTGAAAATTTATTCTGATAGTAAATATATAATGCATAGAAATAATCATAAACATTGTTTTGAAATAAGCATAAACTCATACTCAAAATACAGATAAAAGGAAGGGAACCCAAATGATGAACCAATTAATATGTTGTTTCTGTTTTCATGTGAATATTTTTTTTACTTTTAATATATACCCTTCATTATTTAATTACAAAAACATTAAATATATTATTTATAAGTTTTTTTGTTGTTCTGATCTATGTTCTCAGCTTACTTTGATCAGAAGTTCCTGATAAATGCTACTTTGTCTTTTCAGACGTACAATCGAGGCTTTATCACAGTATTTGTTCTAAACCTCAACTAACTTTTAATATCACCTCTTCACAAAACCTAAAGAAGGATATGTAGAAGTTGTTGATTCATTGTGATGAAGTTTATGAAATAAATGTTTCAAATGACTTTCTCTACACCAATAAAAAATTCTTATCCGTAGCAGCTGTCAGTAAGCTAATGTAAAACTGTAAAAAAAAAAAATAAGAGAGAGTAAGTGAGGTTCAAGCAGTTCTAAAGCAATTAGAAATATTGGATTTTTTAAAAATTAATATGCTATTCAGCCAAGCTTGTTTCATCTTTCTTAACTGATTTCTCATTGGTATCAAAGCTACCAAACTGATTTTTCATTGGTATCATCTAATCAGGGAATATCTGTTGCCTTTTTTTTTGAAACACTAGTGGCAATTCTTATTGGAAAACAAAATTTAAATATTAATATATTGTGTTGATGAAATTATGTTTTAAAATTTATTTATTATATCCATAAAGATCAGCATGGGAATGAAGACTTGAAAAAATATGAAAATTCCAAAACTGAGTCAAAAATTATCAAAATATACTTACAAATGTTGGGAGTATTTATGAATACTCAATACAGTGCAAATGGAGCACATTACCTTTATAAAGTTAACAATTTCCTTACCTGACAATGTATGTCAGATAGATACCTCTCTGCACAACAAAGAGCTATTACCTTACACAGCTGCTATGAAGATTTTTTGCACAACACAAGCCTTGAATGAAACTCCATCTAATGGAGAAATACTTACAGAAGATACTTAGTAGAATAATCAAGCATTAGAGAAAATATCCCATCCGTGCATCCTGAGGAGAACAAAAAACCCATCTAGATGGGCTAACCATCAGAAATGGCTTGGTTCTTAGTGTAGTGGAGTGGCCTATACCATACCTCAAGATAACACTCCAGCACTACTTTCTATTGTGGGGTGCACCCACACAGTCTCATACCAATGGGGGACTCTCTACACTGATCTCCCAAGCATATCTGGATAAAGTCCCATATTCATAGACTGTGTAATAGGTTACCAAACACACAGCAGGTTCTAACGAGTTAGAGAGCAGGCTCATACCTGATGCAGTGATGGTTTTTTCCCCCAAACTATGGCTATGAAGGTTGATATGTGCGAGTGTGCGTGCAGTTGCAGTAGTCACGGAAAAGCTCATCTCAACAGCAGACACTCAGCAGGGGTAGATGGGCTTAACAATGGGTTCCATTGTCCCCATAATATAGATATACAGATTGAATAAACTGGTTGAAAGATCTAGAGAAAAAAATAAACAACTCACCTTCAGAAAACTTCTGTAAGAGTGATAAGTTTTTACAAGAGGGAGAAGAAACCTAGGATAGATGAAACTGCAACGTGGTTTAAGTTATGTAATACTTAATGTGTCGGACGTCATCCAAATACCCACCTGCAATATCTCATACAAGGAATGTTGAGGGCTAGCAGCAAGAGAAGAGATGAGATAACAAATTTGATGGGAAGAGACATGAAAAATAAGAAAAGTCTTATTACCCACAGAAGAATAAATTAGCTGGATGAGGTGTATAACCCACCTGGTTAAAATGAATGGAGATAAATTACTAAATGAAGAGGAATTCCATGCAAGAAAAGACTTTGACAATTGCCATGAAAAAGGAGCAATATAAATAAGATAACAAAGAGTAGCCCATACAGGGCAAAGAAGACAAGATGGAATTATTATACAGGAAAGAAAGGGAGGTTCAATAGATAAAAAATCGAATCCCCCTTTTGTTATGTCAAGGAAAGAGCAGTCAGGGTAAAAGATCAACCAATCTGTGCAGTAAATAGTGCTAGCACCCATAACAAATTAGAGCAACAGCTCTTACAAGCGAGAAGAAGAAAATATGTTTGAAGCATTAAAAAAAAAGAGAGTGAGCTCCACAGACATAACAGACTGATAACACTGAAAAGACCAAAGGAAAAAGAGATAACTATGTAGAAAAGATTCAGTCTAGGCAAGATAGTCGATTCACCATAATGGCCTAAAGCTCCACAGACATGATACACTGACAACTGAAAGTAGTGGTAATAGGCCCAAAAGAGAAAGTCTCGAACAAGAGTGAGTGGGTGCCTCTGTGTTGGTGAATAGAAAAAATGACTGAGGAGAGATATGAATGGAAAATGAGAGAGGGCCAAACAACTAGAAAAAAGATAATGGCGAGCCTGCTGAGCAGCCAACAACTTGAGGATGTAGATAATGAGAAACTGCTCCTCTAGAGACCAGATTCCAGAAATAGATCAGGTGTCCACAACTGCACCCCACCTGAACAGAGGCATGGGTTGACAGGATGTTTTAAGGTTTGGTTGTCAGCAATGAGCTATCTATGTTGTGCTCACCACAGGTATTAAAATCCATATATTTGAATCTTATAAGCCCTCTGGCTTACTAAGGAACTCTGAGGAGCTCTAAACAGAAGCAAGACCAGGTGAGATGGACAGAGAGAGAGAGGTGTACAGGGTCATGTGGGATCGATTTAAATGACAGTGAGGTGAATACAGTGGATTTTTGGATTGATTAGCCAGAATCCACTGAAGGGGAAGTGTAAGGACATGTCCAAGAGGAGCAATGGATTCAAGAGAGAAGAGCCCAAAAGAGACAAATCTTCTCATACAAGAATGTGAGGAAACATGAGAGCCTTGGTATCAGAAGAACAATGTCTCAAAGACATAAAGTAGGCTGAGCCTGCCCTGCATACGAATTGAGAAAGACCACAATATGGATGAAATATGGGGTGCGCATCAGGATTGAATTGGAGAGTCAAACCAGCAACCCTAAACGAGAAGACTCCCAAAGGAGTGGGAATGCAATAACAATGAAAGTCACATTTGATTTGACAAGTAGATGCCAGACATCCATAGTTTAGTGGAACAGCAGGCCTCAAGAATGTACTCTCCTAGCAAAAGGCCACTACACCCAAGGAAAATATATTGTGCTACTGCCAACTCAAAGGAAACAACTGTGAATCAAATGTTGACCATTGTGGATGAACTGGAGGAAGCAAAAGGTAGGCATACAAATCAGGATGTGGAAAAACACCTGAGACCCCAACCTGGGTCATCTACATCCCAGAAGAGTAGTCATCACAGGATGAGAAAACCATCCATCTTGAACAGAGTAAAGACCAAAGTTAGTTCAAGCAGGACAGGATTACAGCATCCCATCTTCATGACAATGAAAAAATACATGTGAAACTACAGGGTGAGGTCAAGGAATTCTTTCAAGGTATTCTAATCTTTTGAGGTGGAGAGCTGAGGGATAGGGAAAATCCTAAGAAACCCCTGAGTAATCCAGTAGCCTGTAACAAAGGAAGTCCAGTGGTGTATATATAGTAAGAGAGCTGACTTCCAACCAGACCAACAATTTGCCTCCAAGACCCATAACGGCCAGTCCTCGGAGGTGGTGGGGGCATTAGATAGTAACAAGATGACTAAGAACAGGAGAGGGGGCAACCCCACAAGGCTGTAGAAGATAACAAAACTGGTGGGGGCCTCTTAGTTCACAAAAATAAAAAACTAAAATGAGTAGAGATGACTGATGACTAGATGCATCAGCTCAAGATTTCAAAGTATAAGAAACATATCCAAAAGATCCTCATCGCAAAGAAAGGGTGCAACAAAAAAGTCCCTAAAAGAAGAATTAGAGAGAGGATAATGTCAGAAAGAAAGGTTACCTGATGAAAAAAAAAGCTTTCTGGGATACAACAGAGAAATAAAATAAATGGCAAGATAGAAAACAAGTACGTGCAAGTTTCTCTATTAAAGCTGGTAGGGTCATGATGTAAAGCCTCTAAGAGAAGGTGAAGCATGGAAAAATAATAAAGTTGAGTAAGTAAGAGATGAGGATGAGAAGATAGGGAGTGAGAGAGAGACAGAAAGAAAAAAGGGAAAATCCCCAATCTGAAAGAAGAGACTCAAGTGATGGAGGCTCATGCAACAAAGTTGTCCAAGATTCAGCAAAAAACAACTGAAAAAATAAGAGACATACCTGTGTAATTGAAGCAGTGAAAGATGAAGATGAAATTACCTGATCCTCATTCTAGAAGCAAAAACAGGTGTTAAAACAAAATTAGTGAAACTAGAAAAGATGGAGCAGGATCAGCTGAAGTAACAGAAGCAGAAGGTTGGGAGTCCTGGACCTTAGATCAAAATGGAACTAACCACCTGGTGCACAGTGGCAATAGAACCACTGACCATCAGTGTTTCCAGTTACCATTACAGTAGTAGATGGTTCCTGTTGAGGAGTGTCAGAACCTCCAAAAATGTTAGAAATGTGAAAATATGAATTCATAAATCCAGGTGATTCCTGAAACTGACTATTTTTCTAATTATAATTTTTGAATAAAAATTGGCTGGTATGTCAATGGTGCATGGTCCAAGGTCATTGGATTAATGATGACATTTAAAAGTATTCAATGAAACTTTTGAGCTGGGTTTAAACAACAGGAAGTAGTATTGTTAAATAAACCTTACACCAACAATAAAACATGCATTAAAAAATTACAAATTTTAGTGAAAGGAAAAATCAAACTGAATATAATTAAAATCAAATTTCTAACTGAATTGTTTAAAATTTGGTATCTTTCTGTCTCAATCAAGAAAATTTAGGAAAGAAAAGGTCACAAACATTAACAAAAGTTTAAACTAATAAGCACAAAAATACTGACAAATCCTAAGAAAAAAAAAGAAGACATATGAACAAAGCAGTGCTGAGGAATGAATAAGCTTTGTTCTAATGCTAGTGCTCATGGGTATTACTGTACATGGAGCATGTGTCACCCCCTTCTACTGGTGGAGGGCCACTAATGATGATTACATCACAGGCTGGCACACTACGTATAGGGATGAGAGTTTTGTTCAAGGCTTGTGGCATGCACAAAAATCTTCACGGCAGTAGTGTGAGGTAACAGCTCTTTGTCATGCAGAGAGATGAGTATATGTTTCTGAATGCCAATATACATTTTCTGAGCTAATCGTAATAAATAATACATACATGAGAACCAGTACACATTTTTTTAGTTTCACAAAGTTAATTTTTCATTTTGAATAGTTTAAATACATTAGCATTCGTATTTCAGAATAAGTTGTTCTAAACTGTTTTTGTAACAGTCACCTAAAAGTAAGGAAAAACTTTTTTAGCTTTCAATCATAACAAAATCCAAAATATCACACTCATTTATGGGTAAATCCTTTATTTAATATTAAAATAGTTTTTCAGAGTAACAAACATGAAGACCAAAAAATTATTTAGCACACAGAAAAATGAATTACAGTAAATTGTTAAAACTTCAATACATGTCACATCCAAAGATAGTGAAGTAACTTATAAGAATTTATCATTTGACAGAACTACCTAGCATGCAAGATGAAGTACTTTTTACCTAAAGAATGGTTTAATAAGTTGCACTTTTTTGTACGTACTTATCTCTGTTACGATGACGTTTCTTCCCATCTTCTTCTTTAGCTTTGGCTTCATTCTTACAGTCTTCTTCCTTCACCTCATCACCTACATTACAAACAGTTTCTTAACAAATATCAGTCAGGAATGCCTATGAAAGGGCATAACAACTTCAAAAGAATTACTCAGCAGTTTGACATAAATACTTCAAAAGAATGAGAACATCACAGCTAATGTATTAAGACTGAAAGATGTCTTAAACCTAAAATAATAAACAAGTGTTTCACATTCAATTTAAAGTGATCTTTTCACTTTATTAGTCCATTGGTATTGTTGACCCTTGGTGACAGAACACGAAAAAGATTCTTTGAAATAAATCACCTTTTTATTAACCAATCGAGCAAAATGAAACCTAATTTTCAGCTTAATTAATATCAATTTCTCATCAAAGTGGGCTAACATCACAGATAAGAACTGAAAATTGATCCAGTAATGAAAAAAGTAATGAAACATACTGTTCTTAAAGATTATAATGCACCATTCCATCAACTGGGTTCTCTTTGCTGGTTATTCTTGACTTTAGTACCTGAATTTTTTGGATTATTACAATAACTTTTAACCTTTTTTTAAAAAACAAATTATTAAAATAGACTTGATAATTTTAGCTCTTTTTTTCAATTATTTAACATTCAACAAAAATTAAACAATCAATCTTTATAGAATAATAGTTATTCAAATAGTATCCAACTTGCATGTGACAAACTAGGTTTCACTACAAGCATGACTTTAACATCCATATGAGATACATGTTTAATGTGAAATATTTATCCGACTATTCATACGACTTAAAATGAGAGCTAGGTCATCTGAATGCATCTGTTTTACAGTATATGATCAGTGAAGGTACAGTAGTTCACTAAGTTAAAGTACTAGCATATTAGTCTTACCAAGCTCAAAAGTTACTTTAGCTTCTCTGTGAGATTCTGATTGTTTCCTATTGTCTGGAACTGGAGCAGCTGCTCTCTCCGACATTAACGGTTCTGATGTACAAATATCATCTGGGTGCATCCTAGTACGAGCAGGAACCACTTCACTTTGTGCTGAACCTTCTACAGAAGGTCTGGATTTGAAGAATGAAAAAACACAGTATCATTCAGATGTAAACATGTCTGAAGGGTATCAAGTAGAGAAATCTACCTGGATAAGTTTAAATAGCTTATAAGTATTGCTGTGACTAGTGATTAACTAGCTTGGGTGACTATCATGTACAAGATGGGCATACAATCACCTTACACAATTTTATGTTCTGATTAGCCTAGCACCAGGGTTAAATACAAGTTCTGGTGATAAATATTCAACATTAATTTTTGTTGCTCTTGAGTTACATTTCTGGAATAAAAGATGTCACTCTTGAGATCCTAACTTGATTTAATAGTGGTCAGGCATGTGTGCTCCCTGGGGGAGATTTTGTTTAATTTAATAGTGATCAGACATGTGCCCCCCCCCCCTTAAGTGAGATTCTAATTTGATTCAATAGTGATCAGACATCCCCCCAAAGATCCTAATTTCATTTAATATTAATCATATATGTGCCCCCTGAGATCCTAACTTACTAGTAATCAAAAATGTGTCCCCCTGAGAATGTAGCTTAATTTACCAGTGATCAGATGTGTATCCACCTGATATCCTAACTTGATTTAATAGCAATCAGACATCTGAGATCCTAGCTTGTTGGTTTGACAGATTGAACTTGTTAGCTTAATATTTCAAAGCTATAATTATTATGTAGAATACCAAAGCAAAACTTCAATATTTCCTTGAATTATATAGCAGTGTACAACTCACCAAGCCTCAAAATTTAATGAAGTATTAGTTTTAAATTTACAAAATTCACAGCAGAGGTCTTTAGTAAATAGAACAGAAAACTTCATTTGAAAAAACAAAAAAGAAGTATCAGCCTCACAAGTATAAAATTATGAAATATGAAGCTGCATTCATCCAAAATATATTTAAGCCAAAATTATAATCCAAGTAAGTGAAAAAAAAAAAATGTAATAACAGAGTTATAACAAAATCACAATAGCAAGCTAAGCTACAGAAACATGTCCCAAAAAAAAGTCAGGAAGGAACAGCCGACAGGTTTTTGTACATTATTTAAATAAATATTAAATACATAAAATTAATAAACATTTAGTCCTGCTTGAAACCTATAAGTCAGTTGTTTTGAAAATTTTGTTTTGTGAGAAAACATTTCTCACTCAACTAGCACCTCAGGGATTTTATTGTACTGATACAGAAATTAATCACTTTCTAGAGTGCTCTCAAGTAAACCTAGACTTTATAGACACTTAGATTATGTTATCAGATATAGTTAGTGGCAAGTAAAGTTATTTAAAATGATTTCGGTATCAACAATTGCAAGAAAATTCAACGGGTCTTAACAGTTGGTATAAATGATATGTTATATATTGAACAGTATTTAATATATCATTAATATATACATACAATAAATATTATTTGAAACAGAAGTTATCAAGACGTATAAAAAACAATTATAAAAATCAGAGATGTCTTATGTACTGAAAGAAATGTATGTACACAAATATTCAACTACTCCTTACTTCTACAATATTCATTGCAATAATACTTGGTAATTATTCTTTGAAAGTGGTGAAACAGATGCAATAGTTACGACAACTTTGACATTACAAGTGAACTACACATAATTTTTGTTCTAATATAATTGTTAAGAGATCAATTTATAATGAGCATTAAACATTTATTAAAACTAGGTAGTTTTAAAAAATCTTAAGAAATCCCAATAACTTATCAATTTAATGTCTTCTTAGTATTCCTAATTAACAAATTACACTAATAAATAAAAACTACTGTTACATGTATTTGTAATTACCGATCTCCTGACAAAGTTTCTTCACGATCGTGAACATTACGTGACTTAGCAGGTTTCAAAGACGATCTTCGGGGACGCAAGTGAGGTTGTTTAGATGCAAGTTCATCACTAGAGTGTGTTGGGGTGTGAGATGTTGATTCTCCTCTTTTCAACACTTCAGTTCGGACATCATGCTTATCAAGGGATGTCATGCTTCCAAGAAAAAATTGCACCTTTTCTTCTGAATCTCCATCTTTCTCTCCATTTCCACGACTGACAGACTAGAATAAATTACATACAAACCTACATTTTTTGTTGTTACCAAATACCTAATTACTTACTAACCACTGAACCTAGTGTCCCAATACTGTAAGGTATATTGTCAGTTTCATTGAAATGCAAGTGATGCTTCTGGAAAAAAGATCATGGGATTTACTTAAAAGTAATGTGTTTTTCCAAGGAAACAATCAACTTATTTCTAACCCATTTCACTACCAAAGCTCACATCTGTCAGCTCTGTGAACAATATGCACATAGTCAAATTTAAAGGAACTATAGTTGATTACAGATCTACATTACTGATAACTTCTAAATGGTTCTACTCTAATCTAGTTCAGTAGTACTTTTTGTATAATAACCAACTTTTCAACAAAATGTAGTTAACGTTATTATTCTGTGATGATTTTTCAGCAACAGATAGTCACGGCCCAATGTTCTTACGCTTACCCACTTGTACTGCTCACAGCTTTATATTGTATTTCTTATACTTAGTCATAGTTTTTTTAATTTAATAACACTTTCAACATGTCCATCATGAGACAAGCATGATGTATCTGGAGAAAATAGTCTTGTTTAATGAATTATACATCGTTTAGATCCAAAACATTGATACTAAATCCCCTTTACAAAATACTAGACACGACATACTTAACAAGTCAGTTAAGATTACCATTTAGATTATATGAACAAAGCAATCGTGTGATAGTAGGTATGGGATATAATAACCTCTGCCACCAAAGGTGGATGGAGATTATATTTTCACCCCTATGTGTGTTTCTTTGTCATCAATATTTCTGGAGAACAGCAAAATGAATTTAGACAAAAATTGGTATACATTTGAACTATAATCCAACTTAGAAGTGATTAGTTTTTGGAGGATCAAGAGTCATGAAAATACAAAGAAATCCCTATCTGTTAACATGATTTTACACACTATTTTTGCTCCATAACTCAGTCAAAAATTATTGGATTTTTATGAAACTTGGTGGACATATGTAGAATATTATTTCTTTGTCCTGCCAAAAATGTCTTTATCCGTTGATAATGACAGACGTATGGACATATTTTCATATTTTTGGGAGGTGCATATGATCAGTACTGCATGGAGGAGGAATGTGCTGTACTAAGTCCCCCTCTAGTATTTTACTGTGATCAGAAGGAAAGACTACATTACAATGAACAAGTGAAAAATATCTGAGTAAGGTCCCACTTCAGTTAAAAGTTAGAATAAAGTGAATTTTAACATAAGTAATCTATGAAAAATGTTAGAAATAAAACCAAAGCACAATAATGAAAACATAATAAGTAACACTTTAAGTAGATCATGGAACTTATCTATAGAGAACTGAAATAATAAAAAAATGATTATTATTTGATCAACAATGAATTGGAAGGTAAACAGAATATGGTTAGAATATTATATCCAAAAATATCAATGTATTCTAAAGTGTGTTCAAAAGAAATGTGGTTATAATAATGTACTCCAGAAAAATCAAAACTTATACTACAGCGTGTTAAAAGGAAATGTGGTTACAATGACGTACTCCAGAAAGATCAACTTATACTACAGCGTGTTCAAAGGAAATGTGGTTACAATAATGTACTCCAGAAAAATCAAAACTTATACTACAGCGTGTTAAAAGGAAATGTGGTTACAATGACGTACTCCAGAAAGATCAACTTATACTACAGCGTGTTCAAAGGAAATGTGGTTACAATAATGTACTCTAGAAAAATCAAAACTTATACTACAGCGTGTTAAAAGGAAATGTGGTTACAATAATGTACTCCAGAAAGACCAACTTATTCTATTAGTCCATATACTATCCACGAGTGAAACATCCAAATATCTTTGCCAATTTATATTTCAGCTCACACTTGATCATCAGGCAACTAATTTTGATAACAATGAACTGAAAGCAGTGACTACTTTATGACAGTGGTTTTGCCTCTCCACTTACAATATTACATGCACATGCACAATTAACATATCAGTTTCTAGTTTATGTGATGACAGTTTATACCACTGTCAAAACGTGCAGGCAAAAAAAATCTACACCTAAAGCAAGCAATGAACTGAACTTGTCATTAAATAATACTCAGTATTTATGCTAAATATTGACCACTTTTATCAAACTGTGTAATAAGTTCATTTGCTATGATCTTTTCCACTATTTGAATTACTATTGTCAACAACAGCCAGCATAGCCTAGTCATTTAATAGTTTGCCAAACTATAAATCTGATGGTTTGTAGTTCTCATTCCATTGCTGTGACTCACTGTCGACTTGGATATATTGAACAATAAACTACATATGCTGAGGAAAACCATTACAAACCACCCCAACTACTATTTCCCACGACAGGAACAATGGCTTCACAAGTAATTGCATTTGCCCATGCCCATTTATATGCGATACACTTTGAATTATTTAACCAAATTCAGTTCTATCTTTTAGTGTATACAAAAGCTGTGAATACCTGACTTTTCAAACCATATCTTTTATCTATTTTTGTAATTTGAAATCTACTCAAATGTCCTTTTCCCATCATGTTTAATCTAACTTCTTCAGAGACATTTTAAAAAACGTTGTTAAAAAAACATATAGTAGTTAGAAATGATTATAAAATCATGTTTGATGGTTGGTTAGATATAACCAACCAGTGATTGTTTCTTAATTGATTATTGATAGTAATGTAGCTATCAATTTTAATAAACAGTTTGGATTCAGCATTTCTGCCATGTTAGTGTTAACTGGATTCTGCATTGACAAGCATACTCATTAGACAACTGCAGATTCTCATGTGTATTGTGGTAAAATGTGCCAATATTATCCTGCATAGTTAACCCTTTCGATACGAATCACAGGTGAAAGGCAATGTCATCTTGTTTGTTGACTCACATTCAAAATTTTATTGAACTACTATTTCGTGAATTTATCTCAATAAGTCTGGTATCAAACTGTAGATTATAATTCAACTTTTAGAACTATATATTACCCAATTTCTTAATTTAAAAGTAAATATTAAAAAACACAGTTAAACATCGATTTTTGTGTGTCACGTGGTATGTTGAATGCAGCACTGGTTCAAATTAGATGTTTGTGAAGTCAAAATACTAAGTCTGTAATTTCGTACAAATTAGAAAAAAAAAATTACAGAAATTGAAAAGCTAGAATATAAAATATGAAGGTCTTATCTTTTCTATTTGCTAAGATATTGCTCACATAATAAATCAAACACAGTGGCACCCCACCCACCTTTTTCCATTTGTGGAAATGCTCCCTTATATACACTCACTTCTATATGTGACATGAATAACCAATCAGAAGCTTAGAATGTTCCCCTAGTGGTTTTCTCAGCCTTTCTAGCATTACTTTCGCCATCTCTTTCTTTTCAATCAAGATTTCAATGAGGTTGGTTGTGTCTTTAGTCTGCTCGATATTTCATATTTTTTTAGACCCAAATACAGCTTAGTTACTAAGCTTGATAAATTAGTGGAATTCTATGAATGGATGTAACAATTAGTGAATTTTTAGCTATTCAAATGTATATATAAAACCTAAAAAAATATTTTGTTTCAAATCCTCCATGTGCAAAATTTTTAAAGGCTTAGCAACCTACGTCAAGCAGCAACCGAGTACAAAGGTCATAACTAGAAGAGATAATTGTTTGCTTTACTTCTTTATTTACTGTTCTAAGTTTTAGAAAAAATAACTGAGAACTTATTTCAAAAATAGCAATAATCTATACACATATATAATGTATAATAATTGAAATGTGACTGTATTTTACAAAATACTAGTTGACTAAAACACAACCAAGACAAGTTACTTTGTACAGACCAAAGGTTACCTCTATGTTATTTGATACTGTAACATGAGTGCATGTGAGCCACATCTTTGTAACTTCTGTATTGTTAGCCAGGCATGAGTGAAAGATCAATATAATGAAAATAATAAATATATATAAATGGAAATGTTATGAGATTTAAGCTATTTCATCTAAACATTTATGTTTTCGTGTTATAATTTGTGTTCATTCTGGAATGAAAGAGGCATAATTTATGTTTATTTCCTAATTTTTTTTATGGTGGTTACCAGATCGGTCAAATTTACAGAATCTGAAGAAAGATTAATTACTGAAAATAAAAGATAAAATATAAAGTTTTTTCTTAAGAAATGTTTGATAACTATCCAGACATTATAACGATTTC